CAACTCGATCCCAACTCATGCATTTAGGCACTATCTCGTCGAGTCTGAACTCAAAAACTTTTGCAGCCCAGGCAATGAAAAACAGAAAGTTTAGACATCGTTGCTAAATTCAAAAATAGCAGCAGAAAAGTTGCCATGGAAAAAAAAGGACACTCATTTTGGACAGTTAATTTATTTATGAGGGCTCAAGAGCTCGCCTAACTTCTCATCAAAAGCAGTGCTTTCCACACTCAGTTGTGGAAAAAAAGATTGTTACGACGACAAAGTCATTACATCCTGTTGTGTCCCCTCTTTTACCAGCTATGGTAACTATCGCATTATTAAATGTCTACTGCACAATACTAACGATGCGTTAATCAATACGTGAAAAGGTAATCAGGTGCAGGACACAAACACAATTACATCAAACATCACATTATGCACAGAATACAACCGTTTAACATGAGCTTGTGGTCTTTACCCCTTTAGCTTCTCAGCGCTTCGTCTTTTGTCTGTCTGCTTGTCTGGCACAAAATGCGAGGAAAACTGAAAGAATCACCTGAAGCGAAGGGCTCATGCTTGAAGGGGATGGGACCTGGAGTCCGAGACGCACGAAACACGGCAAATAAGTGGAGGCTCAGTGTCCGCGGGTAGGACATGCGCTGAAATGCGAAGCCAGGGTCAAGAATTTCCGGTATAAGAACTGCCCAAAAAGGGAAAATGGGTGTTCAGTTGAGGACCGCCCAAACGAAATGGGTGTTCAGTTGAGAGGGCCCAACTTCTCCTCGTTTTTTGGCTATTCGGCTACTGATTCATGACAAATTCTTGACTATGCAGCCCATAGTGGAAGGTTCAACTTATAGCACTTCCAAAACTAGAAAAGTAGGGACGTTCTCTGAGGAGGAGTGGCTTACTTCATAATCTTGTAATTGTTATAAGACAGTCAAGAAGCAGGAGAATTGGTGTAGAGTGCAAAACATTGTATCCGAGGCGCAAAGCATAACTGACTGGAGCATAGGGACGGCCACAAACGGAAGGAGCGCATTCTCGAAGGAGCAGAGATTTCACAAATCATCATTTTTCTGTTACGAAAAAGCTAGGAAACCGAGGAAAAGTGGATATAAGCCAACAAAATTGGAACGTCAAGAACGCATGCAGGCGCGCGCTTCATGCATTACTCCGACCAAAAATTACCAGGAAATGCTTTCAGTTTCCCATGGAACTATGATTGGAGGCTGGGATGAGTCAACAGAGTAATGGATGCAATCAAACGTATTGGGACCAAATGCTACGTAAACATTCCAATCAAGTGGGGTGGTCAAAGTCGTAGCGTCAGTATAGGAGGCGAGCTAATCTAACCGCATCAGCGTTTTCAGTTTTTCCTGAAACAGTACCTATAGTGGTAAACAGATGACCTGGTCACGAATATGACATTCAGTTTCAAGACAGGGGCGATTTGGCGCCAGTTTGGTGCTTAATTGCCTGGGTCATCTAAAGTTCCATGGGAAAATGGAGACATTCCCTGGGAAATTGGAAGCACCCTAGTCAATATTGTTGAATAAAACATTAGTATCCAGAAAAATTGGAACAAACCTTAACAAGTACTTCATTGATGGCAATCGGCATCAAATAACTTCCAACTCGGATATTCTCGTTCAATTGGTAACGATTTGTAAGATGCATTTGGGAGCTGTGACGTTTTCGGTAGGATGCCTTGTTGAATATAATAATCACAGTTAGAGCCTGGAAATATTTCCAATTTTTGCGCAGCCAGCCATTCCTTCCGAGCTCAGAGCAAGGCTATTTCCTATGCTCCCAGTATGTTTTATAGACCTAATAATGATGTTGACGTTCCAAAATATACGAAGTCGAAATGAGTTCTGATTGTTCTGGTTGGTTCTAACTCCATTTTGCGCGAATTTTGGCACGTCAACTCGAAATGCAAAAATTTGTTACCACGAGGAATCGAACTAGGGACCTCCTTTTCTGGTATTCAGAGGGCCGTTCAGGAAAAATTGAACATGGTTCTGTGGTCCCCGCATCTGCCCCTATATCATGCAAAAGACCGTTTTCAAAAAGCTTGTCACGCCCTGAAAGACCTTCCTGGTAAGGACGGTAGAACGTCATGTATGACCGACGGTTTCTTTGCAATCTTTGATATGGGTAGTACTCACCGCAAAAGACAACACTACGATCAGGATTTGTAATCCCATCAGGTATCCGTCAAAGTTTTTCGCTGAAAAGTAAATTTATTGATCGAATCATTTCCTTGAAGTGCTTGCAGTTATTGCATACTGAAGCATAGGGAAACAAACTGCGTAAAGGCATTGATACTATCATAGTACATAACTCACCTGTGCCCGAGTACCTCAAAACTGTAATAAGCGTCGATATGATTGTCTGAAAATAAGCACTCTACTTGCATTGCATAGTGAAGATTCATTTCTGCAGACGCGATTGAAGGAAACAGATGAGAGTTTTATTGGCATCTCATTGGTGTACTAAAGGAATTTCACAATTGCTGCAATATGGTATTGTTTGGATGGATTGAATAATCTTGTAAGCAGATATGCTGCTTTGGTGTTGATGGCTGGGAAGAATTTAAGATTTTAGATAATGTCCCATGGAACGAAGAATATATAAAAGAAATGGATTCTACGCTCTCTCGCTCGTTTCTAAGGAAGGTGCAACACCGATGAGTACTGTAATTCATGGCACAAATCGTAGGTGAGGCTCTCCAGCTTCTCTGCAATTGCTTTCATCCGATCGTGGAAGTGTCTTCCAGATGGATTCCTCGTTAAATGCCTTGCGGAATTTTGAACTCCGCGATAAAACTTCTCACTTCAGCGAGTAACGAACAGGACCACACCCGCGTCTCGTATTCAGGCTGTTTAGAAAAATTAACCGTAGCTCTGTGGTTCCCGCATGTGTCCTCAATATCATGCAAAAGACTGTTTTGAAGAAGCTTGGCACCTCCTGAAAAACCTTTTGATAAGACCTCTTCCACAGTGTGTGAAACTGCATATTTTGGGCTCTCCTCCCCGAACCCAATGCAATTTCAAAGCTTGTTTTCCTGCTCGTTTCAGCCCACTAATTTGAGATGGTGCAACTTAGCATCAAGGACATCTTGAGTTGAAGCTGCAACAATTCCACCTGGCAGCTAGGAAAAGGTAGGAAAAGGAGGATTTTCGAAGTTCACTTGGTAAGCTTTCCAATGACCTGCAAAGAGGGCTTTGTTTTGGAAAGTGCACGAGTTTATACACGATGAAAGACTGAGCACCGAGACAAGAAAGCACGCAGGCGAGCAAAAGTATATTTTTGTTCGTAACTATTCGGAAGGTACGGGAACTAGCCAGCGTTTTTGACCTTACCGCATCTCTAATAGGGCCGGTCGACAGCTAAGCTCCACCTGCGTATCGTAACTCTCTCTTCCTTTGTTGCGTACTCAAACATTGGCCAGTTAACTGAAGTGCATTTTATGCTTCTTCAAGATAATAAAGTCATAGCCATTTAAAATCTATAATTATACGTTTGCATTAACACTTATTCTCATGCATTTTTGACCAAATTAGTCATCCAATGTTTAGTGATTAATTGGATTCAAATTTGAACTGAGGATTGTTATAAAATCCAAGCTCACCACAGCAACGAAAGCGAGAGTCGGAACAACAAAGCCGGCAAACCGTTTTTCATAAACATCAACAAACGCCGAAGCGATTGCTCTTTCAATAATCATGAATAGCCACGAGAATGTATAGAAACAGTTTGTAGACAGATGGGCAATCGGGGACACCGTCTATAACGAAGGAGGCAACCATGGAAATTTTTGTTTGCAGAGGAGAGGAAAATTACCACAAATTTCATATTTTCTACTTCACTGCTAGTCATGTGTACCGTTATTATGCTGAGGCGAGCTATGTCGTACATCATGTAGCCAACAGATGTCATGAATAAGAGGATCCTGGAATGAAAAGTGTTCGCTGTTTCTACACCTTTTTGGGATGGGCTCTATAAAAAAAAGAGAATTACTTCCTGTTCCGAAAATTGAGGCCATGGTGCGGAATAGCTCCGCAAAAGTGGGCTGTTCTGTAGTGAGAAAGAGTAACCCCAAGCCCAAGAGCCGCGACACTGCTGCAAAAATGCACGATAGTGGCGCTAAGGTCTTGCCTTGTGCGCTGCAGGCACTGCCGCTCTAACAATCGCGAAATACGTGGCGTTTGCGCCCTCTCGTGGGCACTGCACTATTTTCGCACACGTGCTATTCCGCGTTTTCCCACTCCTCGCAGCGCTGCCTCTCCAACACACCACGCCGACGGCAGGAGGGGAGTTCAGTGTTTTGTACCCTCTTCATATAATATGATGTTCCCCCTTTTACTCTCGCGATCTTTCAATGCCTTCATGTTGGGATCAACGCAAGGTTGTGCTGATTTTGGAATATTTCGACTTTCCCAACAAGCTTCGTCCCTTCCCTGCCCTTCTTCAGGAAGTATTGAGGTTCCACCACCACCTGCAACCCTGCATGAAACCCCCGATAAGGGGTTCCTCCCACTTTTTATAGTGCAGCAACTCACCATCCGTTTCCATAGTGTTCGATTTTGAAACCAGTTCGTGGAAACTTGTAACCTGAAACACACTCCAATTCCACACCCATCTTCCTTAAAAATTGATGTGTGATCAGGGTGCGAAAGTATGGACTAAAAACGGCGTTATTATTTATTCCAGGGCGGAAGTGGTGTAGTGACAAGTGGCACGCTTACCACGCGAGCGGTCCGGGGATCAAATCCTGGGTCGTGAGTCGCCCGGGCCAACCAAGCCTCCATCCCTCCGGGGTCGGTTAATTGGTACCAGACTTGTCTGGGAGGATAAAAACACTGACTTGTACATCGGCCCCGCAAGTCATTGTATAGGCCACATCGCATTCAAATGCCACTGCGAATGTACAAATGGAAGTAGAATGCGTGCCGCATCCCAAAAAGGGATTGATCAACGGCAAATGCTTTATCCTTTTTTATTATTATTCCACACATATCGCCCTATTTCCGTAAAAGTTTCAATCGTTACTAAAACGGATAATGCGCCCGTAAAAAACTTCGCATTCACATCATTACATACAGCCTGACCCCATCATACCACGATCTCTGAAAACCTCAAATCGACCGTTGTAACAACGCAAGATGTCCACCCTCTCCAAAAGTCCAATACGACCCCTCCCCGTTAGCCATTGCTCAGCTACAGTTCACCAGTGCTTCGGGTTAATAGGGTAAGTCGTGCTGTCCTCTCTTCAAAACTTTGCCTGCTTTGTTTCCGCCCTCATTCAGTGCCTTTACGTATAACTTCGTATAATGTATGCTATACGAAGTTGAACGATTCCGAACGTCACAAAGCAGCAAAGTTTACTTGATATTGTAAAACTAAATGTCTAACTTGACGAGTTCATTACAAGCTATTCGGAAAAACAATCCCAATTCATGTGAATTCTTGCAAATGTCTATTGTAAGTACCTGAAGTTCACATGAAGATTTCTTTGTGTGGCACATATGTAGAAGACCATCGAAACAATCGGTAGAAATATTATACTTATGGAAAATTCCACTGCATAGAATACAACATTCCATCCTCGAAACAGTGGATCAGCCATACTGAAACTAAATGATTGACTTCCATCTAGAAACGTTGTGAATTAAAATCGAGCGATGAATCATCGTAGGTGTGATTGAGCAATGAACTTGCTGTTAAACAGCCGTTTGCAGCCACATTTCTGGCCATCTTGCTACATACGTGCCCATCTTCTAAACGATAGTTGGGTAGCAGTACTATCGTGAGGTGAAGGGCAAAGAGGCAGGAGCCAGCTGGCCGAGTAATCTTCCCGCGAGGGTCAACGTGCGTTTACGAGTCCTTGATGAGGAGTGAGGTTCGTGAGGCTTGTGAGAAAAAACGTTTTGAGTTCAGCAGTGGAAGTTCAGCAGTGGTAGTTCGTTCGAGAGCGGATAGGAGCCGCGACACGCTGCGCATGTCGAATCGAATGCATGGCGCATCCCTAAGCGAATAAAACCAATGTCATATGCATCTCCCGTTCTCCGCAAATAGAGTGAGTTTGAGAGACATCAAGAGGTTCACGGAGGGCATTGATAAAGTGACAGGTAGAAACCTACTTTTCAAAAACAAATGCAAATGCAATCTTAACTTCATCAGTATGGATCTGTTGAAATTCATAGCTTACAGTTAGTATAATTTACTCTTATAAAAAAGAAAGAAATTGTTAACTCTGGAGCTCTTTGTTTTGTGCGAATTTGTTTACGGAAAAGGCTATGGTGGTTGAATTAGAGAAAATGCAGCGAAGCAGAATCAATTGGCGATACAGGAATTGGTGGTACAGGACTAATCCTCAACAGAGCCATTTTCCAAATACTGATGGTCCAAGTAGTTCTGATAAAAAATGAAGCCTCCAGCTCAGCGCCACTCGTGGAGCATGAGCGAAGATGTGGCTTTCGAGAGAACAAAAACCTGCACATCTCAAACTTGCTTCGGTAATAACTCAAAATTTTTCCATGGAAATCCTATTAGAGAAAGCATTTTCGAGAAACTTCCAAATGCTGGTTTGAGTTGAAAAATTCGTTTTCTCTAAAAAACTTCTGGCCATTTTAAATATTTATTTTGGTTTTTGGTTTAGTTTCCAATCTATGTGCCAATAGAAAAGCTGCTTCAACGTTAAAACACGCTTTGCGACAGCACTAACGTCTCCTGATAGCCCCCTGCAAGTAGAGTTGAGGTTGCGTATGGCACCCTCGTTACAGCAGCAGAAGTGGTATTTGGAAATTCTCTCAACGAAATTCCTTACAAAAATACAAAATCAAGTTGGCAGATAATAAATACATTTTAGTGAAGGCCGTCGTCACACGTGTTGCGAGGTCTGCACTCGACACACTTCTGGCTCTTCGGATCAGAGTATACACATACTTCACCACAGTGTTTTTTGAGACCCAGAGCTCTTTTCTCTTCTGCGTTACCTTACAAATACTTCCTAACATCACCCAGCAGCAAATATCATAGAAAAATCGAAGAAACTGCTTAGGAATGTGAGATGAAGCATTTTCTAGACTAGGACTTCTTGTGGATGGTTGGAGGCTCTACTAATCATAAGAGCCCTGGCAACATTCCTACCTTTTAACTCCCTCTAGGTTCACAACGTCCAAAATTTTAAGATGGACGGTAC